CAAGGCGTCGACGACGAAAGCCAACTCGCCGTCATCGCGCTCATGTTCGAGATCTCCTCGGGCGACTCCGCATCCATGATCCAATCGCTGTCCTCCTCGCTCGCCGACATCGCCACACCGGGCACCAAGACCACCATCTCTTCCGGCATCGACTTCACCGACGTTGTTGAGACGCTCAAGACCTCTGATATCCAGACGTACAGCGGTTCGCTTACCACCCCTCCTTGCGCCGAGGGCGTCACTTTCCTCATTGTCAAGGACCCTCTTCCTGTCTCTGTTGAGGACTTCAACGCTATCAAGAAGATCGTCAAGTTCAACTCCCGTTTCATTCAGAACACCCTTGGTGGTCAGAACATTTTGGAGATTGGTGCTGCTGCTGGTAACACTTCGATGCCTCCTGCTCAGAACGCTACGCCTCGTGCCACCAACGTTGAGATCAATGCTGATCTGGGCCTTCTTGATGCTAAGGTATGCTCTTCCCTCCCTGCCATGCTTTTGTCAGATCACATGTACTAATTCGTTGCCCAGGTTACTGTCGGTACTCCTATTCAAAGGCGTGTACGCAAGTACTAAATGTAATTTCCTTTCTCATTAGAAGATCGTGTTGCATGGTTGCGGAGTGAGTGGTGTTGTGGTGAGTCGTAGACAACTCAGATTTTCATTTCTTCTTTGATTATTTCGCATTTACACAGAGAGTGGTGGAGTGATACCAGCTTTCCTTTTCCTTTAGTCTACTAGATCATGATTCAGATAAGACTTATTACAGCAATGTAACAATATCTGCTGCCAGCTCTTCCTCTTCGCGATTCCTGCGCATTTGCTAAGCTACTTTCTTTGATCGATCGAACGATATCCGTATAAACAGTATCAGAGATGTCATTGATGTTGCTTTGTTGAATGTAGCTTGTAGTGACTGAATGACGGACGGCCGCGATGAACCCTGCAGCAAAAGTGAAACAGAGTCTACCCCGGGGGAAAATGAACACCTATCTAAACTTAACAACTTAGAAGGTCGCGTTGCATCATGATCTTACTAACTTTTATTTCAATACTCATCTAGACCGTAATGCAGTTGTTCAGTCTCTTCCTTTAATAAGATGTAAACATTCTAGTCTAGATTATTGGACGCGCGTTTCATTGCACGAGAAGTCAAGAAGACGGTATCGACGCATGCAAGGAAGAAGATGTTAAAATTGTAATCTGACTTTAAGCTATCCTGTTTTGCCAACTCCAGCAATGCAATGAACAAATCCAAAAGATCCCACTGCGCTCTGCCATGCGCAGATCCCACTCGCTGGGCAGTCTCGCGCAAACCCATACTACAGCTGCCTATCTTACACTGCAGACTACCGTCTACGTTCCTAATCGTAGCCAGGATCGCCACTAGGTGCCGGCGTCGCAGCATCCCAACCGCCAGGTGTGGGCGCCGCAATACCATATCCGCCACGCGACGTGTCACCAGGTGTAGGCGCAGCGTAGTTGCCTGGAGTAGGAGCATCCATGGGTGGGCCACCAGGCGTAGGCGCAGAGTAAGCACCGTAGCCACCTGGAGTAGGAGCAGCGTAAGCGCCAGGTGTTGGGGCGTTGTAAGCACCAGGCGTAGGAGCAGAGAGACCACCAGACTTTGAAGCGGTGTTTCCGGATGATCCACCCCAACCAGGTGTGCGGCCGCCAGAGTTGAAGCCACCGTACTGGGTACGGTTTCCATCATTGCCGCCGTAGGCTGTCGCTCCGCCATATGATGTGGCGCCTCCGTATGCAGTTGCGCCGCCATATGCAGTTCGGGAGCCATCGCCGCCTCCATAAGCAGTCCGTGATCCGTCTCCTCCGCCATACGCAGTGCGTCCGCCATCTCCACCCCAACCAGGCGTTCGACCTCCAGCAGCGGCACCACCTCCCCAACCGGGTGTGCGACCACCACCGCCGCCTCCCCAGCCAGGCGTACGGCCACCACCACCAGAGTTGCCCCAGCCGGGTGTACGTCCGCCAGCTGCACCGCCGTAGCTTGTCTGACCACCAGAGAAGCCTCCACGTGAGCGGTTGGGGAACTTGCCTCCCATTTCGACACTGGCGCCAGTGATGGGATCTTTGATAGTCAGGAGCTCCTTCTTCACCGAGACTTGCTTGTTCTTTGTGTGCAACTCGATACGGGCTTCGTCGTTCATGGTATCCTTGACAATACCCAACAGGCCCTTGTAGGCACCCTTTCGGATGACAACCGTTTTGCCAATGAGCTTGTCACGGCCAAAAGTGGCACGGGGTGGAGGCATAGCAGTCGCGTTGCCGTTCGGGCCTGCATTCAGGGCAGGGTTGATGCCACTAAGATCTGGGCCCTGTGCTTGAGCGCGACCACTCTTTGCTGCCATGGTAACAACGTTGTTGCTTCGAACCACGAAGATACCCTGGTTCTCGACGAGCTCGCGGTTCCGTACGAAAAGTGTGCCTCTGTGGATGTATAGAACCTTGCCTTGACGGCCTTCGCCTCCATACTCCTTGACGTCGTCCTCGTGTCGGATTTCGGATCCGTCGCGGTCGGTTGCTACAGCATGTTTGTTCCTCCCCACGATTTGCGAGACCTGTGTATGGAGGAGTGTGCGGACATCGCCTTGTTGATCGACAATTCGTAGGACTTCGCGATCGACACGAACGACGCAACCGATGGTTGAGGCACTGTAGAATGTTAGTTCGTTGTCAAGTCAACGGGAGGAGATAACTTACTCAATCTGTACAAAGTCGTAGAGATCAAAGTTGGAGTCAGCACCGACGTTTGCCGAATCAGCAGCGCGCTTCAGGTCTTTACTAAAGACTGTGATTTCCTGCTGAGTGGAGTCGCAAAGCAAGGTGATCTTATCATCCTTGATTCTAGTGACTAGACCAACTTCGTCGACATACTTGCTGCCACCGATGACCTTGACGTGATCACCGTCGCGGAACAATTTCCGTAGCGTCTTGACGGGTGCGTCGATTCTTCTGCCGCGAAGATCACCTTCGCTGACACGGAGCGTCAGGATGTCGCCTATGACAGTGACAGTTGTACCGCGGATACCCTTCTGTTCACCGGTGTAAATCTCGACGTTGTCTCCCGCAGCGAAGGCGGAGCCAGAGTCTGCGGCCTTCTGCGCGGCCTGGACAGCCAAAAGATCCATGGTCTCGGTACCATCCGCGTTTTGGATTGCGAAGAACTGCAATTCCTCCATCTTGGGGTTGACCTTTTCAGTGCTGACCCAGTTGACCTTGACTTCCTTGATCAGGAAGCCGTTCTGGTAATCCTCGCCCTTGTATGTGTATGCCCTTTGGTTGCCAGATCCTGTCATGCTGAGATGCTTCATGTGTCGCTTCTTCGCTTCGGCTTCGTTGAAAAGCTTCGCAGGTGGACGCTCGACCTGTCGACCGAAGAAGCCGCGCTTGCGCTTGTTGTCGGCGGCGGAGTTGATGTCCTCGTTCAGACCGTAGTCTAGACGTGGCACAAGTTGTACGACACAGTCAAGACCGTTAGTCGAGACCTCAACGACCTTTGCGAGATCGCCTTTGTATGTGGGGGGACGCAGCATGCGCACGAATTTGCCAACCTCCAACGGCGCACGCTTCTTCTTACGGAGCAGATCTGGACGCTCTTTTGGAGGAATCGAGAACTGACCAGAGCCCATGAAGACGTTCTGTATGCCCTCGATCAACTCCACCACAGCCTGCTTCGAGTCGGCCTCAACGTAGAGGAAACCAGACTGGGGTCCAGTAGGGCCTCGCTCAAAGGCCGAGTAGACCTGGACTGGCTGACCTGTGCGCATCTTCTCGTCGATACGCTTCTGAATAGACATTATGATCTCGCGCTCCTTTCCAGGACGGCACTTGCAACCCCAGATAGACGGATCGTCGACTGTGGGTAGGGCCAGGGGAACGGCACCGGCTCCACCGCGGCGAGTGCTCTGCATCTCACGCCGCCTGTACTTCTCGTCGAACTCCTTGGCGAGCTCCTCAACGTCCTTTTGTGCATTGACTTCGCGGCGCATGTCAAGTTCGCGGTGGTGGCGGTCGTCGAGATCGGCGCCCGTGGGCTCAAGGAGATCATCGGGGTGGACTTCATCAACACCCTCGTCGTCGCCCTCCTCCTCCTCTTCCTCATCCTCGTCGACTTCGGCTTCAACATCAATGAACATGTTGCGCTTGGCCTTCTTTCTTCGCTTGGCAGGTCGGGCCTAGGATAGTCAGTATTTAGACAGCGCGAATGAATGATGAGACCCACGACAACATCCTCGTCGTCCTCATCTTCTTCGTCATCTTCCTCGTCATCGTCATCGTCGAGATCTATGCCGCCGCCCTCTTCATCCTCGTCGTCATTGCCTGTCCTGTTTGGCGCATCGACTTCGTCCTCTTCGTCTTCGTCTACGGGCCTGCGCGAAGCCTTGGTGGTTGGCGCGACGTCATCCTCGTCGATTTCAGGCGCGGGGTTGAAGTCTTCTTCTTCCTCTTCGGGGTCGCTGCCGTAGGACGCCATGATTATCGATGCGTGTGGTGATAGAGGAGCGTGTCCTTGTTAAGAGCTGTCGCGAAGCTCGGGGGTGTGACCGCGGCAATCAAGCGGACGTGAGGGTGATGCTATCCGCTGATTAGTTTTGGACGGGCGGCGCGCAGTCGGAGAGGGAAAAGGAGGAAAGTAAGAGCAGACGGCGAGCGTCGAAGTTGACGGGTTATGTTTTAAACATGGGAACGTCGAACAAGGCCCATCCAAAGAAACCGCGCTAAGCCGGCGCGCCGCGAGGGTCCGTGCGCCTTTGATGGCCTCGACGCCACGCCTCCAGGGTGAAGCATGACCAACGCGTGGAGTTCACCTCTAAAGCAATACAGATTCAGTATAATTACGATGGTCTCTGGATGAAAGCTGCAAATTTACATGCTTTACACGCCCATCACGAGACACACCATCAAATAGGAGATCGCGACCTACTGCCCACAGAGGATCGCGTCAAGTCGACATCTTGGGTAGCAAGATCTATATCTCAATATCATAACCTTGCCTTCTGCTCCGTCTTATCCTCTTCTACTTCGCATACCCTTATCACAGCCCTTCCCCAAGCTTTCCGCTCCCTCACATCCTCCAGCGCTCTACTAACCGCCTCCAACCCCCAGTAATCCTCCTTGTATATGACAGGCCGAATCTTACCATCCTCAACCAACTTCATGAACCCGTCCCACACATCTTGAGTCCGTTGCGGATCTCTTCTCCCATCTTCTCCAAACCGCTATCGTGAGTCAGCACACGAAACGAACACGCAAAATCCCAAGTGCAGGACGACCACGAAAGGCATACTTACATAACCAAACACCGCAACTCCCTTGAGTAGAATCTTATTAACCTTCAGGTTCTCCATCTTTCCCCCTCTTGCCGCAAATCCCACAACGACCAACCTCCCCCGATATCTCAAACACCTAATCCCACTCTCCACAGCCCCAATCCCATCATACACGACATCCACCCCCTCCCCACCATTCCCCAACGCCTTAACCCTCGCTTCCCACCCCTCCTGTCCATAATTAACAACCTCGTCCGCCCCAACACTCTTCACAACCTCAGCCTTTTCCTCACTCCCCACAACAGCAACAACCCTCGCCCCAACCGCCTTGGCAATCTGCACAGCCATGACACCCAACCCGCCACTCGCACCAAGCACGAGAACAGTTTCCCCGGCTTTGAGTTGCGCAACTGAGATCAAAGCGCCGTAACTTACAGCACCGCTTGCGCCAACGGCGCAGGCTTCAGCGTTGGTCCATTGTGAGGGGACGCGGCGGATGGATGGCTCAGAGACGCATATTTGCTCTGCGTAGGTGCCTAGGCCGCCGCCGAAGACGCGGGTGCCGGGCGGGAAAGAAGAGGAAGGGGGGCTATGGGTTGTTATGCCGGCGTATTCTGTGCCTAGGATGAAGGGCGGTTGGACGTGTCTACGGTTGTTTTGGTGCAGGCCTTGGGCGTAGAGGAGGTCGACGTGTGTTACGGCTGCGTGGGTGATTTTGATGTGAATATCTTGCGACGATTTTGAGAATGGATTTGGGATGGTGGAAGGTTTGAGGTCTGTCACGTTCTGTAGATTGTCATGGTTAGGGAAGATGATGTAGATACTTAGATAGGTGGCTTACAGAGACGAATCTGTCGATGTGGATGGCCTTCATCGTTGCAGATCAACACATGGAACGTCAATTCCAATTTGGCGACGTATCCTTACACATTACAAGTTGAAGCATTGCAGTAAACAACGAGAGTAGTACATGCACCATATGCATGCCGGGAGATCGACGCGTCTACGGGTGTGGGGTACAACGAGTTGCCGAGGTTTGACTGGATGCGCGACTCTGATGAAGCGGCAGCAACAGAAACGAAGATTGTGAGACAATGAGCAGTTGTGATTAGAGGGGAGTATTCAGTGATCCGGTATTATACATGCACTCGATTCTCTTGCCTCGCTTGATACGCTAAAATCTGCCATACGCGGTTGCCATCCTCCACGAACAAATACAAATACAAAATAAGAAGCGCAGAAGCTCCCAGTGGAGCCCTCCCGCATCGCGAAACCATTTCCGCGTTTCTGTTTTTAGCCACGCATTCACGTACCCGGAGCTTGATCATCCACCTGCCCCAGCGCCATGGACGCCTCATCGCGGGCCTTCTGACGCCGCATGTGCCATTTCTCAACGTCTGACATAGGTTTCTTGGCCTCGAACGACTTCCGACCCTTTTGCGCCGCCATGTGAGCTTTCGTCCAGATAGCCGCTATAGCGATGAGGGTGACGAGACCCAAAGCGGTCCAGTATACAATGTGGAACTCCTTCAACAGGTGCTGTCCCCCCGTCGCCGCCGGCGCCTTCTGTTGTAGAAGCGTGCTCGGTTCGGGATGAGATGCTGCCGTCATGGGGATTTGCTGTGGTCTGATGACGGGTCCGAGAAGAAGGTTTGAGATCGGGGCTTGTCGACCGAGGATGCTGAGGAGCTCTGTCATGGATATGTTGAGGCCGCTGCTCAGTGCGTCGAGCACAAGCATCTTGTCGAGTTCAGGGTCCTGAGACATACTGCCGTCGCTGAGTGACTGCACCTGTTAGCGCGTGTTTGTAATGAGCTGTCATAAGCTTGCCTTATCAGGTGGTGTCTACGCAATCGATCATGCGTGAGCATACAGTTGTCAGATTGGCTACTCGGGGAGACTAAACAGAGCTTGGAAAGATACGACAAGGGAGGAGCCACCTCGGTGTCAGACCACTTGCTTGTCGTGACGGAAGGAACCAGCGCGATCGGTGAGATCGATTGTTAATGAATGGGGAAAGAGCTACCACATCGGCCATCCAGTACCAGACAACATGCTGGCATTGAGGACATTATTGTTCAACAAGCCTTCTGAGGGTAGATAGTCCATCAGATCTTCGAAGCCCAGACTGTCGATATCGAAATTCCACGTGGTCGGATCGGCGAATGTTGGTTGAACCTCAGAATCTAGAGGCAGCTGTTGAGTCGCACGGTCAGTGTCCGGCATGGGAATACCAGCCGTATTGCCGGGAATATAGGGACAGGTTTGGGTGGTTGCTGTGTCCACTGATAGTGTGGACCTTTGGCTTGATCCATCTCTGAGCTTCTCATACTCTGCCATAAGCGACATGAGCAGACGCACGCCGTGCACTGCAACACTTGACGTGTGAAACAGTTGCAAGCACCTGATGGCTCGCGTGACATGTAGATGGCACTCTTGTGCCTCCGCGTCTGCTTCAGCACGATGAAAGAGCTCCAGAATGAGGCAAATACCTGCGGTGATGATGAAAGCTTGTTCAACCCACCACTGCGGCTCTTGCGCATCTCGAGTGGTGTACAAGCTGATGAGACTCTGCGCTGCGCTCATACAAGCCCACCGGCTGTATGTGTAGCGGACGTCCTTGAAGCTCTTGCTCAAGAAGTTTTGATGGACTGATGATACGTGGCAGAATTAGTATAGATCTTTGCACAACCTATGATGGTGAATACTCACTCATAATGATCTTATGATGCGTCGATGCGTGGTGCAGCCGCTTCGCCCAAACGACCCATTGTGGCCAACTGGGATCGTGCGGAACCCGAGGAAGAAGATATTTTGGCAGCTTCTCCGTACACAAAGTACGCATTTCGCCATCAAATCTGAGGATTGTGGCATATTTGATAGCGTCGTCTTTGTCCTCGAGTTCCACCATAGCGTTGTGAACGTCGAGAAGTAACGCAGCGCAGTCAAAGGTCCACTTGGCGACACCTACGATTGTTGGAATTTCTGTGTCGGCGACAGGCGTCATGGTTTCTTCGTCTAATTCGCGTGGCCTTGTGCTCGTGAAATGCCGCCATTGGAGTGTCAACGTGTAAGAGGCGGATGAAGTACAACACAGCCTAAAGAATAGATGAGTGAATTGTTCATCAATCGCCTGAACCGCGCTGTAGACGTACCACTCCTGACATACAGTCCCATACCAGACCCTGCGGCCAATTTCACGCTCGATAAATGCTTCTTTCTGTCTTGAGTCCAGTTCACTTATCCTATCGTCGTCTGGATGGGGCCCAAGTCTGCTCGATCAGTTACGAGAGTCCGTATCTCAGGAATCTATGCCACCTACTTGTGCAAGCCAAGCCCTTTCGCAATGACTACCCCCACACTACGGAGAGCGATCCATTGATTACTTGAGCCAGCTAGATGTTCATACGCGTGCATGATATGAATTGTCTGTACCGAGTGAATACTGTATTGCGATGTATAATTCCCAAGGTTCAGGCATGAGATCGATGCTCCCCCCCATACGCGTGCCAGCTGGACTTTGTCGTCAACCGAGAAGCCCCAGGACGTCGAAGCTATTTCTGAAGAGCCAATGATACTGGATGAAAGAATTGCGACTACAAGATTGGAATTAGTAACTTTAGTATCGACCGAGAAGATTGAGTCTGGTCACCGTAACCTTCGCATTGATGGCATATCAAGTAAGGTAGGCCTGCATCATTCGAAATGGAGGTAAACTTACACAAGAGGGCTACCCATGTCCAGTCAAGGTCTTGAAGAGCAAGCTCACACGACTGACCATACGCTTGAAGCAGCTTCTTTCGAAAGCTTGGCCCATGGTAGATGCCGCCGTGCCAGTACATCATGTACTGTTCGTAGTACTCCACAATAAGCATTAACTTTTCTCTCGGCGGCAGAATTGACTGCAGGTACTGTGTCTCCACTATCCTCGCTGCAGCCGAGTAGCAGCTCGCAATAGAGGTCGACCCGTTCGGTCTATCTCGTGGCGATTGTTTCGACCGGGCGTAAGAGAAGCTTTTGTCGAAACGGCTTTGATTGGCGTCTGCATCTTTCTCTTCCAATATAGCGCTAATCGTCATGTCGGGTAAACCGGTTCGCCAGACTGCTTCCTCATGCGGCTCGTTCCGACCCGATTGAGACCCTGCCGTTTGTGGATGGATTGGGGGTAGCGCGACCTGAGCATTTGCATCGGGAGACGGGCCAGATGTAGATGTGTCGCTTGAACCGGCTGCCGAAAGCTTCCGGGGATATTTGCGATGAACATTTGGGTTGTATCCGTTCACCCATTTGGTCGTGCAAAGATGACCTTCATTGTTCTGCACGCATCTTGTGCAAGGGGCCTTTCGATCGCATTTCTGCCGTCTCTGAGAGCACCGCGTACAGGTTTGGCGCTGCTTGGGCATGATAGGCTGCTCAGTAATCTGTATGTGATAGGCCTATGCAGTCGTACAACACCCTTGGCTTCGTCTTTTGCTTGTTTGGTGGCACTTGTTTGTACGACTACCTAGGTACGAAGGAACGAGTCTCAAGGTCGACGGGTGTTTTTAAGCGAATACAGATCAAAGTGAGTAGCGTGCAGTGCGTACAACGGCGGAAGGTCATGAAAGCTGATGTACGAGGCCATGTGCGAATCGTACAAACCTTCGTACAACGAACAGTCCGTGCTTCCTCAGACTAGACGCTCAGACCACGCTTCAGTGTGGGTAGGCTGATGATTAACGTTTGCCCAGAACCTTGGACGCGTCGACATGGTTGATATGTGTAGTGACAGAGTGTAGGAAGCTGCGACACTGCTGGGTGCTATCATGAATCGACGGTCCGTGCACACAACCCACGGACTCAGTTCGGAGTTAAGGATTTCTCACGCATACACGTGGAACACGAAGTGAGTTTCAAAAGGCACGAGGGCACAACAGAGCTTGTATCGTACATCGCTGCTTACAAGCTGTTGAATCTTTACACGCAACGATATTCAAGATCGTCTAGATTTCTACTTAGAATATTCTTCAAGATAACTACGCATTCGTAATGAAGCACATCCGTCATCCCGTAGTGTGGGCAAAGCTTGATTCTGATTACGCATGCAACTAAACTAGTGCAAGCACCTTCCATCCTGCAATATACATTCTCGTCAGTATATACATGCTTGCTCCCGCCATCATCATGACACCAGAGAAGACGTTCAGCCCCCAGTACTTTCCATTGTTTTGGACGACGATAGCTCCTGCAATTGGATTACCGATCAAACCCGCAATTGAGATGCAGGCGAAGACAACACCAACACGGATCCCAATCTGTTCGACCTTGGAAATATAAGCGATCTGGGCAGGCAACAGTGACACGAAAGCACCGGAAGCGAATCCGTAGAGGCCGGCGAATGTAATGAATGCCGCGTTACTTGATGCGGGGATAGCCAGGGCAAGGACCAGAATGCCAGCTACGAGGCACCAGAGTGACTGCATATTGAACTTGCCAACCTTGTCCGCGAGGGCACCGGGAATGATGCGACCGAAGATACTAGCGGCGTTGAGAATAGCTAGAAGATATCCAGCCAAGGTAGTTGACATTCCAGCGGCCATCGCTTGAACTTCGATAAAGTTGATGGGTATAACTAAGTCTGGGATTAGTACGCGTCTTATCGGCAGCTCGTACAGGGGGGTAACTTACACAGTCCCATGAAGAACAAAAATGACGCAATCGTCAGTAAGACGAAGCGAATATCACCAAAAGGCTCCACAAACACCTTGAACTCGAACGTTCTGGGTTGTGGCGGTAGGCGAGATTTGACAGTGAGGAAAGCGATAGTCATCATGCCGAGGATGAGGAAGCCAAATGTTCTCATTGTCCAGCCATAGCCGATTTCGGGGATGAGGTGTGTTGCCATGATAGGAAAGATGATGCCGCCTAATCCACTGCCAGCTGCCATGACCCCGTATGCCAGGCCTCTCTTCTTCAGAAACCATGTAGGAATGGTGCTCGTTCCTGCCTGAAAGATACAGTTCAGACCTAGAGGGCTGCAGATTCCTTGGGCGAGGATAAATTGCCAGTACTCGGTGCATAGGCTGGTCATCATTAGACCAAGCACGTGGAACAAAGTACCGAACAATAATATGTACTTGGGGCCGTAGTTGTCGTAGAGGAAACCGACGATAGGTCCAGGCGCAAACATGACGAAGATCTCGAGGGAAGCGATCCAGGCGACGGTAGACGGCGAGTACGCGCTGAGCTGATTCCGCTGGTAGTAACTTTGGAACACTCCGACGCAGTTTAGCCATCCAAATGAGCAGAAGAGACAGCAAAAGCCTCCGAGGAGACACAGATAGGCGTCTCTTCCGCCATCAGGAAATTGACTAGGATGGAATGGGCTCACGACCGCTGTAGGCTCGGTCGTATCGAGTTGCTTTTCGTCGACCGGTGCTGGCGGTTGTTCGACATCGGATTGGGGAAGTCGTGACTTTTCCTCGTGCAAAGACGCCACTGAGCTTGTGGTTTGTGACATGATATTAGGCGGTAGTGATAGGGCTAAAAGTTGAGAGTGAAGGAGTTGATGAAAGGAAAGCTGGGCTAGGCCATGATTAAGTAGTGAATGCTTGAGGTTGACATGGAGAGGCGTAGCGGCGCCTCGCTCCTTTACCATGGAATCCGTATGATCCGCATATTCGAGATCAAGCTATTATTGGGGTAGGTTTGCATGTAGGCCTGCACGCCTGTTCGCGCTCGGCCTCGCCTTTGACGCAGACCGACGTGCCGAGCCAATGGCGAGATATCTCACAACATTCGCATTACCACAACAGCGAAGGCAGCAGCGGGACGGGAGTCAGTGACCCACATTTCAGACGGTCAATTCGGTCTTTCGAAGAGATTTGCTGGCGAGTGCGGTGTTGGAAGGATCTCGCTCTTACGCGCGCGCGGGAGACGCGTAGGAGATGTCGGAGATGATGGCATCTCCGACCCGCGTCCGACATGGGACCATCAAACTGAAGATGCATCCTATATGTGCGTGCGGCCACCCAAACATGAATTCTCACGATGGGTACGTGTGGATCATCCTTCTGCGCTCAAATCAGCAATCGCTTCCATGCGTTGGCGCCCTGACAAGATGCGCATGGCATTGATGACGCATAGCTTGCGAGTGACTGCAGCTGTTGATCGACGAGTGTGAATATAGCAAGATAGCGAGTAAGCCACTTCTCGTGGTGAAGTCTGTCGAGAGTCGTTGGGTCGAGGCAGCGATGGAGGTGAAATCTGGAGGTGCAGGACAGGTTCGCTTGATCGGGCAACGACGCACAGACTTGGTTCCTTCGCATTTTGCCTTCCGAATCAGTGTGGTCCTCACTAGCACTCTTGCTTGAACGCGCACAACGACCAACCCACGCCCAAGCCCCGACTACCCTGAATCCATCCCGATCATCTGCTGGGGAGCTTCGCATAATATATTCGGCCATCTACACCCGCGCATCGCCATCTCATCGCCCGCCTATTCCTGCATCTCCACCGGATTCCATCCCATTTCAGTGCACACGGCCCGGTACGCGCAACTAGCCCGAGGATAGCTTTTTACTATGCTAACGTCGACTTGCTGTCTT